TGTTCAAATGACTTACAATTTTTGCATTTTGAGTTGGTTTCTTTCTTGAGATGCTGAGTTCGTTTTGCCCTTGCTGGACGCCCTTGAATAATGTCCTCTCTGGACTGACCTGCGTGCTGATATGCTCCGCAGAACTCTCTTCCTTCCTTCCTTCGAGTTGTCCGTGAATGTGGATTCGTCGGTGGGTCTCAAACTACTTTTTGAGCCTACACCTGACACCAAATTTTATGTAGTAACCGTCACTGTCACTCGAACGTAGTTTACTGCAATGCTTCTTTAACGACGAATGCACAATGTCAAGTACAACGTCGTAGTATAGGAAGGGTAAAGGTTTGAGTTTTAAGTATTAATAACGAAATATTAATATTTACTTTAACAATTTATTAAATATAAAATAACTTTAAAATATAAATCTTTTTAGAAGTGTTTTTGAATTAGTATTGAAATACTAAACCGGAGAGAATATGTGTGTGGAACGTTTCCCTAGAGGCTCTTGGTAAGCATGGGTGAAACGTTTGTGTATGAACTACTCTCTATACTCTCTCTGGAGCTCCCTGTGAAGAGGGCTCCTATTTATATGAGACATGCTGTGATTAGGAAAGGATGATTGACGTCATGGAAATGGCGTGATGTTTCTACTCCAATCAGGTAAAAGCATCAGTGGTCCGATTTGGTGGCGTGATATAGTTTAGGCCACTGAACTTTAGACCTACGCTTTTATACTAAAAACGTCGGTTTACTACAACCTTCACGACACTCAGCCACTTTTTGTATCAGTTACATGAACTTCATTTATACGTAATAAACACATTATTGTTCATAAAAGTTGTAATTTTCATTTAAAACAACACCCTGGACTTGGATCTGATATTGGCACCCAACAATATATCAAGTTATGTCTCTTTTAAAATTTAGTTCATACAAAGTATACATAAGTATAATATCTACTTATAATAATCATTACCTGCCAAGTTTTGAAGTCTAAACGATATGACACATGCAATAGACATACAAAAAAATCTAATCCATGCGTGTAATGTCGATAAACCAAATTTAAAATGTTTCGGTTTAGTAATTAACTTTAATAGGTACTTTATCAATATTATTGGCCTGTTTTTGAATACAACCACATATATAACAAGTTTGACTCGATGTAAAAATCATCGAATTGCATACCTACCTATAGATGCATAAATTATGTACATTTTTTTATTATTTCTAAAAGGGAATAGTTCCAAAGTATTGTATAAAAATAAATTTACCTTTCCATCGTCCATTGAAAAAATTAGCTAGTGCCCACCTTGAAAATAACTATCATTATAAATTAAATCTGTTGTATTTAAGCTATCTATTTGTATTTTAACATTATTCACTTCTTCTCGAGTATTTTCATCGGTTTTTTTTTTAAATACAAATTTAATAAGTCTGTAGAATCTTCTAGAAAAAGGCTTTGGATTTTTCCAAATAATACATTTCTTGTCATCAATCGTGCAATTCAACTGCAATGGCACAAAAGAAAATATAAACATATCGCTATTCGTCACCGATTGTGTATTAGATAAATCAAAATTTATTTTGTACTGTGTTTGACCATTTCTTTCATCACACTCCCATTTAAAGAATAATTCACACTTGTCTATGTTAATATTCATACTTTGAACACTAGGAATTTGCAGAATACGTTGTACAGTGTGATTTAATAAATCTTGAAGTGGTATTTCGGCACTACATTCAGATACAATGACATTATTTGGGTAACATTGTTTTTTGGTGATAAGCACTTTGTCATATGACATAATGACATATAATTTCGAGATTCAACACTCAGAGCCTTCATTACACCTTCTCCTCATAAAAAATTTAACAAATTATCGTTGGTTAATATTTTTAGTTTTTCACCGATACTATAGCCTGCTATAAACGAGATTATAATCAGCAGAGCAAATTTATTAAAACCAATTACGTAGCTTGTATACCTACATTATAAATAATACTTTTGTAATTTTATAGTTATTGAACTATTTATTAACAAAGTATATATTATATCATTAAAAACAATTTTATACATTTGAATTTGTTAACTTAATTAATATAAGTGTATAAAAACGTGTTTTAATGGTACTTACCTTCATACGTACATTCCATTGCATAAAAAAAATGCAAAAAGAATAATTTGAAAAATTAAAATGTGTATGCAATAACTCCTTAAATCAAAATGAAATAAATACTCAGGTGATAAACAATATTTTTCAAAATGTATATATTTTTAGCTGTCTATAGATATCAAAAATATTTATGGCTTTAATTTTATCAAATCAATTAACTAATGGGTACATATAGGCAGAATATAAAATAAATATATCATTTAGATAACATTTTGTGTCATACTTTCTTAAATGGGTTTTATGTAAGCTAAATAACTTTTCAGACCACTGGGCGGGGCCCAGAACTCCACTGGCTGAAATCCTTGGGTAGGAGATTCCAGTGGGATTAAATCCGAACTACTCCCGATATAAGGAGCAACCCTTTACGCTAGTAAAGGGAAAGGCACTCTCTTGTCCTTAGGGTAAGAAATTGCTCTAAAAGGCGGATGAACGAATTTATTAATTTTTCTTCGTCAAAGGCATCGGATGTGAATAATAAGAAGAAATTATCGCATTAAGAATTTTAATAGATATTCTGAGTATCAGCAATTTAGAGTATGAACGCTTCGACAGTAAAAAATTATGGAGGTAAAATAGTCTCCCAATCGGATCTCCAAGTGGAGACTACTCAAGAATTTAACCCTTTGAGATTGAAAATGTTCAGATCCGGACATTTTGGCGTAGTTTCTTTAAATTACGTCACAAAATTATTTTAATAAAATGCCTTTAGATAATAATGTTGGCATTAATTATATTTTACCTATATAATTTATTAGTTTTTATCTCTCTGTAATCGGTTACCTGTAGGTATACTGTATCAACTCTAGATAAACTTATAAAAGTGATATTTGGAATGTACTATTGCAGAACATTATCTCTATTACTATCCCGTATTTCATTTTAAGTATAAAATAGCAAAATATAAAATAAGATATACAAAATTATATAATAAGCTTTCGAGCAATTTCTTGAAATGATTCTACGCCAAAACGGCCCTACGCCAAAACAGCCTTACGCTGAAATCACCACGCCAAAATGTCCTAGATCGTGGAATATTAGAATACTTTTGTAGATAGGAAAATTGGAGAACCTAAAAATTAAGATGAAAAAACTTATAATAGATATTCTCGGAATCTCAGAAATGAGATGGCCTAAATCAGGTGATTTTTAGACGGTTGAATACAGAATAATTTACTCAGACATATAAGGCGGAAGACCGTGTACAAAAGGAGTAGGAATAGTTCTTCAAAAATATATGGGAGATAAGGTAAAAGGGTACGTACAATATACTGATATAATAATACTAGACAATATAGATACCAAATTAATAGATACTTTAATAATTCAAGTTTATATGCCCACATCAGAAGACGAGTAAAACGAAAGAAAAAATATATGAAGAACTAAATGATTCAATAGAAAATGTCAAAAGAGAAGAAAATCTTATAATCCTAGAAGATTTTAATACCATTGTGGGAGAAGAGAGAGAAAAAAATATTGTCAGAAAATACGGACTTGGAATTAGAAACCCGAGAGTAAAAATGTTACTAGATTTCTGTGTACGGAATAGTCTAAAAATAACATACACACATTTCCAACATTACAGAAGTAAACGGTATACAAGGAAAGCTCTTGGTTATATTAGAAGAGTACATATAGATTATACATTAATAAGAGAAAGATACAAAAATCAATTTAAAGACAGTTTAAGTTACCCAGTAGTCGATATTATTAGCGATAATAACCTGGTCCTGAAGCATTTGGAACTTAAGTTTAAAAAGCTACAAAAGAAACAATACATGAAACGCTTACAACTGGCAAACCGGCTAGTTGAAGAAATAAAATATTCATTTAAAGAAAAGACAGATAAAACTATGATAGAGTCGATTAACACACAAAGTAGTTCAAACATTGAGGAAAAATGGGGAAATATCAAACGATGCATATTAAACAATGCGGATGAAATTTTAGAGAAATAGAAGGTGCCATTGAAGGGAACAACAGCAGAGGGAGACCATCACTGGACTACATTAGCCAAATAGTTAAGAGGTGTAGACTTTAGATCTTATTGTGAATTAAAAAGGAAAGCTGAAAGGCGTCAGAAGTGGAAAATTTATGCCAATCAGCCTTAGGACTGTTAACAAAATAAAAAAAAAAGTACCAACTAAACGTAAAATATATGACTTAAAAAGCTTAAAATATCTAATATTCAGCATATGGGTATCTCCTTGCTGCCATTTTTTTTTCTTATATATGTACCTAGTTTTGTTTCTTATGCTATTACAATTATACTTTAATACCACGTGCTTAATATAAAATCTATTATCTAATATAGGTAATTACTCTCGAAACAGCCCTAGTATTAATATTAAAAGGCTCGCGTTGTGAGTAGGTTTAACGTCGCGTAGTTAATAATACCGGTCAATATTTCCGTAGAATAATACAATAACTAACTGCCTAATTAGCTATTAGTTCTATTATAAAATTTCAATCATTAAATAGTGTTAATAGTTCAAACAAAATCAATATATTTATTTAATTTATATAATAGTTCATTTTTTTTTTTCATTTAAAACTACAAACTCAAACTGAAACCATAGTTATTGACATTGTTTCATAGTTTTTAAATTATTAATTTATTATATATAAGTATGCATTATTATTTTACTTAACTTGATAGTTTATACCTATTTAGTATTTACTCACCAATATTGACATGTATATCGCAGTAATATATAGTTTTTGCGTTTTATTACAATATTTTAACGACCATAATGTCGCGTCACCAGTTTTAATATTTTCACTTTTTTCAAACTGTTTTTACAAAGGGTTAAATTATAATAATATTGTACTTACTTCAGTGGATAAGACCGGTCTTTGAATTGCTTTAAATATATTGTTTAATTTATCATTATATTCATTACTTATTAAGAAAAACACTAAGAACTTGTACAAGGCAATATGTTTTCTATACAAAATATCGTCGTCTAAGGATATCCATAAATTTTTATTCTTTAACCATTTTTCAAATGTAACAATTCTATTACCACTAATGCTCTAAAAATGATATAAAAAGATAAATTATTTAAGCCAAAGCAGAAAATTTACAAATTAATTATCATAAAATGTTGTAAATATTGTAGGGTTACTTCCAATTAACATTCAACTTTAAATCAAATTAATCAATTACCTAAAGATTTTTTAAAGAAATATACCTGTCATGAATTCAATTATAATGCACCGAGCTCAAATTATTTTGCCTACACAATTATTTTCTAAAGCATATCAAGTTATCTAATGAAACAAGACTTTTTAAATTGATTTTCATGTTATGATTTTACTATTGTTTTTGTATTTTACCTTTCTGCTTTAATTTATTTTATTAATTTAGATTATTGTTTTTATATTTTTTTTTATCAAATAATATCAACCGTATCAATAGTATTATCAGCCATTTAAATTACTCAATTAGTTGGAAATAGCTAATATAACTATCCTCCATGCAATTAAGCGTAATATAATATTGTTTATGTAGTATAACTACACTCTTGGACTTTTTTCTAAGTTGGATGTTAAAGATAAGAAAAACTTAAATTTTTGAATTTAAGTTATCTTATATTACATAACAGGATTATAAACGACTTGGATCCAATTCTAATCAAACAGCGGATATTTAATGTACTTATTTAATTTAATTTTGATGGGCTGTCGAAATGTTATCAATTATAATAACTATATAACTATAGTCGGCGACACGAAAAGTGGCCCCTGACCGTCACGAACCTAGCGGCTGTTTCGTCGTAGGGGTCCGTATGTAATTAAATTAATTGCCGCGTTTTTTTGAATTAAAACGTAATTTACTGAAAATACTTTAAATTATTTTATAAATCAATTTATTTATTCTAGTCTATATATTCTGGACAGCTGTAAAACGCAGGTGCCGGTAAAAATGCACAAAAAAACATGTCAACTAAAATTGTATTACGAGAGGAGCAGAAGATTATGTGGTATAAGTTGAGAACCAATGGCTAACGGGTAGGAAAGCAGCAACGGGTCGCGGTACACAAGGGCCAGTTTTCGTGTCGCGGACTATAGGATATATAAATGTAAAGTAGTATCGCAATAATTGTGATTCCTCGGACTCACCAATACGATTTGTGATAGATTTTAATAAGAATCATGAGTAGGTTCTGAGTTATCTAACGTATATGTTTACAGAAAAAGAAAAGAAAAATCGGAATGTTATTAAAATCAGTTTTGGTCTATTGTTCTTAAATTCAAATAATTTAGACGACTGTTGAACAAACGGTAAATAAAAACACACAACGGTGATGACAATGGTGAACTTGAATGTAGGAGCTTGTCTAACGACAAACAAAAATCATGAAGTATACAAGTACACACGTAGTCTCAGATCGCAGGATGCGAGACACCAAAGTCAGCCAGTGGCAAGGTAAGGGAATTATCATGATTAGAAAAATTTAAATTTCCGTAGTGATGTGTATAAAAAAACCAGTGCTCAAACAATTAATATTTAATTGATATTTTGTAAAATAAATATAATTATTAATTACGTCGTCCAAGAAATATCTTCGAAATAATAACACTGCTGAACTGGGAAATGATCCATAATCTAATCTATCAAATTGTTTTTCTTCTTTAAATAATTCGTTTAATGCGGTCATTTCTGCATTCTGATCTTTTTTATCCCTATGATTCATTATATCTGTCTCCAATGTTTTTAATAGTATAAACCACACATCTACATGTTTTTTGTCTGTACTATACAATTCACTTTTTATTGATTTTAAAAATTCCAAACCTGGGAACACAAATATCATGTTAAATACCATTAAATTTGTATTAAATATATATACATGTGTTTGTGTTTAAAAATACTAATAAATCATGTATTCATGTTCTTAAATGAAAATATTGAGTATTTTATCTAAGATATTAACAAATCAATAGAAAATCTAATAAATTAAAAAATTAGATATTAATAAAATAATGTAGTATGGTAACACAAATTACGAACACACAATACGTGAATCAAATTAAATATTACACTGATTTTGCTCATTTAAATGAGGTTTCCTGAGATATTCGGTTCACATAAATTGCTGAAAAAGATTACACAATCAAGCCAACTATATAGTGGTTGATAGCTTGATTAAAGATCTCTGTTTCTAATAAACTACTTTTTACTTAGCTGTTCAGTCCCTCTTCAGCAATCTCTTGTCTCTGATAGAATATAAGAAAAATGCACGATCATGTTTTTGAATTTTATTGCCAAAAATATGTGTCAATTTCTATATAAGCTTGTATACATAGAAATGTATTATAGAATTGTATACATATCGTCCTTTACATCAGCGATTATGATTTACATCGGAAGTTCTCATTATATACGCACAATTATCTGACTATTATACCGGTATTAAATTATTATTTTAAAGCGTCCTTGCTATATAATATGTGATTATATCATCTCATCATAATGTGTATAAAATATATAAATATGTATACGTTTACGTGTTTTATGTACACGTTTTTGAACAATAACAAAATAATGGATATCATTATTCATAGTATAAACATGTAATTTTGTCTAAATTTAGCTTAGTATGTAAATAAAAATAAACTTTAAAATCTATTTATTAGATTTTTTTTTTATTTCAGTACGATATGGTAATGTGGGACTTTTTTTAAAATGTAAGCCTTAGATATACAAACTGATCATTTTTAAGTTTTAAACTGTAAAGAAATTTCCAAATTGTCGTTGATTTTTAACAATTTTGTCAAAATTATAATTTGATGATAGTATCCGAATAATACAAAAAATATTAATTATTATTTAATTAAAAATAATCAAGGGACTAACAGTCATTTATTAACATTTAAAATCGAATAATTTTATCCTCAATCATGTATACACATACTCCTCATTGTAAAATCAAAATATTTATCGCCACGTTCAGAATCTGAGAATATAAAGAACTAATAATTAAATTAATTTTTTCAAAAAAACTATTTATTTCCTCAATTATTCCTTAAAAAATGTATTCTGAATGCAGAAAAACTATTGTAGAATACATTTTTCATTTAAAAATAATTTAGATTAGTTTCATCAATTTGTAACAATAATATTTTAAATAAGTAGAAAAAAATAGATTCACTTTTCTACTATATGTATATTATCTAGTTCACAATACTAATAAATATATGTATGTAATAATATTTACCATCACTGATCACATTATATGCAAATTCATAGTTCCGAGAAAAATAATATATACTCGCTGCTTTATAGTATGATTGAATTAACACCATATACTGTTCAAATAATGTATTACCAATCTAAAAATATTTATTTTATTTACATTAATTTATTTATTAGTACACCAGCACAATATATATAGTGAAAACTCTTTATAACGAATCTGAAGGGACCAAGAAATTTCTTTCGTTATAGAGAGTTTTCGTAATAGAGAGGGTTAAAAAAAAACAAAATTTTAATTATTTATGTATAAAGGTATGCACCTATGTAATATTATATATCAATCACATTATTTTTACATTATATAATACATATTTACGTATTATATTAAATTATTATTATTATTATTATTATTATACATACATATTAAATATAATTTAATTTTTATACTACATATATTTATACTTAATTTAAAATAGTCTGTCATTTTAGTTTGGACTTTTTTATTTTGCCAATACTGTTTTTGTATTTTTCTATGAATTTGTCCCATGTTTTGGGATAACTTTGGATCATCTTCATGAAACAATAAGTACTTTTCTAATAATTTAGCCGCATCAAGTGCTTGTTGAATACTTGGTATTACGACTTCGTCAGGTTGTGCTTCGTCATCATCTTCCTTTTGCTCCTCCTCTCCTTTTGTCACTGCATTTAGGATTTCTTCATCAGTTAACGATATTGTTGTAACTAGGTTCTCGTCTATTTCTACATAGTTTTATAGATCCTCAGGAGTAAAAGTATGCGAAATATTGAACTGAGTAATCCACTCACTCAGTGATATATCATCTTCTTTCTCAAATTGTTCCATTTCTTCTTCAGCATTGGCAAAACTTCGAAGTCCAGCATGACGAAAAGAATGCCGTATAGTTTCTGCTGTTACCTCTTCCCAAGCTTTACTTAAGAAGTTCACCGCATCGAGCATATTGATAGAGGCATTGCCATCAGATTCGATAATTTCCATTAATATTTTCTTTCTATAATGGCCTTTCTTGATATTAATAATGACACTTTGGTCCATCGGCTGTAAGATACTAATTGTGTTGGCTGGGAAAAATATAATTTCTATGTTCATAAGATTAGATATATTGGGATGAGCAGGACAATTATCCACGAGTAACAAAACTTTTCGCCCCTTTAATTCTGCATCCCATTTTCTTATTTCTTCTTCAAAAAGTATTGATGTCATCCACGCTGACTTATTTGCTTTATAAGTGACTGGCAACCGTTTAATATTTTTAAAACATCTCGGGTTTTTTGATTTTCCTATTACCATAATCTTTCTTTTTTCAGTGCCACTCATATTGGCTGCTACAAACGCAGTGATACGTTCTTTAGAAAGTTTACCTCCCACGCATTTTTCCCCTTTGAATTTTAATGTTTTATCTGGGGTCATTTTGTAAAAAATACCTGTCTCATCAGCATTAAAAATATTATCTGGAGTGTACTTTTCATTCAATTTTGGCCACACATTAATTAACCAGCTGTTAGTAACATTCAAGTCGACATTTAATGCTTCTCCACTTATTTTCCCATAGGTAATATTGTGACGTTGTTTAAATTTTCCAAGCCATCCTTCCGAGGCCTTGAAATCTATAATACCGAGTTGTTGAGCAAAATGTTCAGCTTTAGTTTTTAAAACAGGCCCATATATAGGTACATTATTACAACGTTGTTTATGGAACCACGTTAACATGGCCTGGTCCAAGTTTTCAAATTTCGGTTTTCTTATTTTTTTACAAGAACTTCCTTCTGTTTCAGCCTGCAATATTTTATCCTTATTCTTCCAGATAGTAGCGAAAGTAGATGGGCTGAATCCAAAACATTTCCCGACATCACTTTTTTTTTTCACCTTTTTCAATCGCACGTATTAAAGCGACTTTTTGATCAACACACAATGCTTTTCTTTTACTTGCCATAACGAATGTTAGCGCACTACTGTGGTCATGCGTATAATGTTAGACATTACGTCGATAATAAAATGAACATACCTATTCAATATCGATAATAACGATATTAAAAGTAGATAGTGAAAAAAATGTAATCGTTTTTGGAAATTTCGGCATTATTGCCGATTATTTTTATAGTTTATATGTTTATGTAATAGATATGATAATACGTAAATTGTATTATGAAACATAAAATATTGTTTCGTTATTGGGAGTGACTAATACGTTATAGAGAATGAATTGACTAATGGATTATATAGCAAACCAACCATTATTATGTAATGTTTATGTTATATAGAGTTTTTCGTTGTAAAGAGTTTCGTTATAAAGAGTTTTCACTGTATATAACTTATGAACTATATAGTAGAAATTTTTTTTTTGTTTAATTCATCGAATACTTATAGATATATTTTATTTGAACCTAATACAAATCAAATTTTAAATATATTTTCATATTATACCATTATATATTTTGTTGTTGAAAAAAATTTAATATTTTTTCCGGGAGTTGATTTGTAAATTAATGTTTTTTTAAATTTATTATAAAATTATCTCGTGTAACTTGATCCCAATCATGGCATGAATTATTGCCATATGAAATATGAGTACGGTGTTAGAGACAAAAGTATTTAGATTACCTAAGCCTAACCTATTTAAATACTTTTTTCCAAATATATATTTTAAAAAAAACCACTTAATATGAATTCTAAAAATACTTAAACACATTGAATTGTTTGTCGTAAATAAATATTGTTTTAAAATATATAATAAATTATTAAAGAAAAATAATTTTTTTGTTTAAACTTTATGTTTTGATTCTAAGGCAAACAGTGCACGCATAGCCAGATATTTTGATTGTATACTAACTAAAGTCACCTAACCATTTTTAGGCTTTATCATTAAAAATCATCAATTTATTAATGATAAAACTCGTACTCCAAAATATCAACTACAGTAGACGCCGCTTATAAGACTCACTTTATGCTGGTCCCAAAGTGAGTCTTATAATCGAACGAAATTTATTGGCGAAGTGAAAAACATTTTTTAATTTATTTATTAATTTTATTTTATTATATAAATATTTTGATTTTACTTATAATACTTATATACATTAATATTATGTGTGTATGTATGAACATTATTATTTTTTTTAAAAAATTTATAATTTTAGTTTGTTTTTTATTTTGTTATAATATTTCGAAAATATACTGTTTGTATTTGTGTACATAGAAATTATTAGTATCACGGTAATGGACAGTGATCCTTAACACGTCTAAAGCCTTCAGAACCTCTTTATTTGATGGTGGTTAAAACTAGGACGTCGAACTACTCTTTATCACTTTCGTCATTCTCCTTTTCGTTGATGTTGGTGATTTAATTTATAATAGACTGACAAATTTGGTTCTCAAAATACTATTTTGATTCATACGGTTATAAGACTCACTTTATGCTGGTCCCAAAGTGAATCTTATAAGCGGCGTCTACTGTATATTGTATTACGATATACTTTTGTCATTTTTACATATTATTATATAGTTTATTTCATCCGTCGTAGACAAAGTTGGTTTCATTCGGTTGTTATGGGCTACGAGATATGTTAATAATATAAGTATATATAATATAATAGGTAATATTGTTAGAGGTGTTAGCAATAGTAATATAGATATATATGTGGCCAGGTGGCTTAATAATTATAATATTTATGAAATATTAGATTCATATTTGTAAAAACATCATAATAAATCAAAATAGCAGTCGTGTGATGAGGTCGTTTAAATGTATTATTGCATTTCCACGAATTGCCAATTAAGAACAGAAGACATCCTGGAGATTGTTGTTTTCAAGTGTGAAAACAATTCCAAGAATTAATATGAATTAGAAGGTTGTCGACAACCTTTTATTTATACGTAATAAACACATTATTGTTCTTAAGAGTTGTAATTTTCATTTAAATAACACCCTGGATCTGGATCTGATATTGGCACGCAACACGGTAACCAATTTTATATTAAATATACACATGTGTATCATGCTTTAATATAGTTTTATATTATTAATTTTTATTTACCTTTCTTAAAAATAGCTTCTTAAACTTAAACATTATTTTGGAATACTTAGACTGAGAATTAGAGGTTTTATTGTAGTCGTATACTAATTTGTTATGAATTTTAATGATGTAAGAGTCAGTTCCTATTTCAAGAGCTTCATTCCAACGTTTTTCAATTGCTGAAAATAAAATATAACACTAGTTTATGTAATTAAAAAATAAATTTTTAAAAATCATGAAATTTGCTTTTACTGTAATCCGGCCGTCCTAAGGTTTTTTGGGGTCAGGGACAAATTAATTTGGGGACCCTTTGATCATCATTATATAATATGAGAAAAAAATACTCATTGAAATCGATAAAATTCTTAGAAATGTATTTTTTTCAAACTTTAACCGCAACCAATCTCGTTAAAATGTAAGTACTGGTACATTTTAATAAATTTCTTCACTATATATTACCAAATATATATTTTTTTTTAAATTATCCATTCATTATTATAAATATTCATGAAAATAGAAAATGTTTTTAGGATTCAATAAATACATTAGGTAAATTTAGAAAATTCATAAAAGGAAATTGTAATGTTTTATTATTTTAAATCAAATATTAATATTTATATGAGAAAACTTTTTTCTAGCTTTATTTTTCATCAAAGCTGTCTACTAAATCATCATAATCTATAAACTGTTATATAGGAAATTAAATACATACATATATAAATAAAATTTAAAAATCCTATGTATCATAGATTTATTATAAATTATGTAATTATACAAATACTTACTAATAGTATCGTCTAAAATTAAAGATTTCCCTGTAAATAAAAAAAAAAAACTATTTAATTTTTAATAGTTATAAATTATTTTTGTCATATACTCGTAATATTAGTAAGTAGGTATTTTATATTGTCTATGGCGGAATGTGGTGCATCGTTAGCGGTCATATCTGATTTCAACCGTTCCATGGATGATATAGATCACTGGATAGCAAGTCTAGACGACAAGTGCGCCGTGTTCATCTCGAGCACTTCAGACTTGGTTATCACTGACAGTGGCGTAGGTACCGGCTTTGCCTGGGTGAGGCTTGGCTGTGTAGTGTTCTATAGCTGCTACTGCTCCCCAAATTGCTTGGGCCAGGACTTCGACTACTTCCTTAGTGGTTTGGAAGATTCGATTCATCGACTGCCTGGTGCGCCGGTAAACCTTATGGTAGCTAAGGATTTAAACTCTCACTCCTCCGAGTGGGATTCAACTAATAATGATGTCAGGGGCGTCGGTAATCGATGTCACACTGGAGCGCGCCCTTTCAGATAGCCGTCCTCTAGTAGCCGACTGGGAGGTATTGGAGGACGTGTACTCGGACAGTGACCACTTATACGTTAGCTACAGTGTTGCCGTCACGACAGAACGCACTATCCCGCTCAGACTACAGGAAACCGGGCATCCGGCTGGTCTTTAAAAAAATTAAACCGGGATGTGATCAACGTGTACTGGGAACTAATCGGCCCACCACCTCCGCTACCCGCTGACGACACTACCGTAGGCCATGTAAACCGTCTCCAAAAACTGCTCATCTTGTCGAGCGACATAGTAATGCCGCGCAGAACTGTTTTACAAAGCAAGAGGGCTCTCCACTGGTGGAATGACACCATTGCTGAGCTGCGGAGAGTTGCCGTAGCCGTTTGCACGCGCTTTCAATGGGCTGGTAGGTCGCGGCGCCTGGACCGATTGGCAGAGCTTGCGGATTACAACGCAGCTCGGACAGATCTCAAACGGGCTAATTGTAGGGCATAGGAGAAGAGCTGGTTGGACCTGTGTCGGTCTATGAACAGTGATGCTTGGGGCGTGCCTTATAGGCTCGTCACCAATAGACTAGACCAGGGATGGCGAACCTTTTGATAACTGTGTGTCAAATCAAAACGTTTGATTTGTTTGTATTTGCCTCACGTGTCAGAAACTTTGCAGGCCTTTTTTTTGCTTAAAAAATAATTAATTAAACATATAAACATGATTTTATTTATTGTTAGGTATATAAAATATTTAAACTTTACAGCATTCACTATTTACTATTAAATATTAATATAAACACATAATGTTTTAATTACAAAAATAAGTTTTTAATGAGAAATTTGCTGCTGCACTTTTCCAGCTAACGAATCAATCCTGGGATTATAATTTGTAGATTTTAATTGAATACATGCTGCACTGATATCTGTTCCAAGAGGATTTCTAAATGTGGATTTGATAAAATTCATGGAGGAAAATAGCTGTTCAAATGTATATGTAGAACCAACATAATCAATAATGAAAATGCTAATTTTTTCATGAACGTCAATGAATTTGGTAGACTTTTCCACTCAATAAGAATTAGGTTTTCGGTTTTAATACTACTATCAATTAGAAGAATAACGAGCTATTACTACAGGTCCAGCGGTGCGCAGCCTTGCGAGTTGCTAGGTTTTATCGCACCGTTTCAGATATGGTAACCCTAGTTCTCGCCAGGATGCCGCCGGTAACTATCTTGGCAGCTAGTAGGAAATGCGCCGCTGAGGCGAGAAGAGTCGGCGTCGACCGCAGCCGACATGTCTTAATGACCGAAATCATTCAATAATGGGAGGAATTGTGGGAAACAACGACGAAAGCGGCGTGGACAAGGCGTCTCATACACAGCATTTTTAGATGGTAGTTCTTTAGCCCCCGCCAATTCAGTTATCACATGGCTCAATATCAACCATTTTAAATGTATTGTTGAATTTCGCTACTTGGCCCTTAACTTGAGCCCAAATCAACTCAATTGGGTTATACTTACAGTGGTATGGTGGAAGCCGGATTACTTTATGACCCATTTCAATTGCAATGTCATCCAGCTCATATTTTTTTTCGCGTGGCAATAGATTTTTAACTTTTTGCCGAAGTTCAGGTAATGTTTCCAATGAATGGAACTCGATATTTTTTTCATATAACCATTGTTGTACTTCAGCTTTTCTCCAATTACTTTTAGGATATTTTTCTTTGAGAATTGAATGGTAAGGCGCATTATCCATGACTATAACTGATGGCTCTTCCAGATTTTTTAGCAGTTGAATAAACCAATCTTTGAACACTTCACCATTCATCTGATTATGATAATCCGTGGTATTTCCAGTATTGCTTCGAAATACTAATTTTGATTCTTCTATAAACCCGTAGCGAGCACATCCTGCATGGCATACAATAAGTCGGCCTCCTTTACCCGTCGGCACCTTCAAACCACCTGAATTATTTTCATTTTGCCAAATAAGAGTGCGTGAATGGTTTTGGTTTACCCACGTTTCATCGAGATAAACCACTGGCCGATCGTCTTTATTTTGTCGCAGCGTACACATTTGTCGTAAAAATTTACACCGAAGTGCGACGATATCATTCCTCTCCATTAAAAACAGACGACCATCGTTACATCTTTTGTATGTAAATTTTAAATTTTTTAGGAGCCTTTGGATTGATCGAACAGACCCAGTGTAATTTGTTTTTTTTTACGACATTTAATATTGATTGAAAAGTTGGGTACTCACCCCGGTCGTAAAACTCTTGGACAGTTCTCCTCACAACATCGGAATCGAAATCGTCCAGCTTTGAAACAGTTTTTGCGCGTTTATACCCTTTACGTGGAGAAACAAACGTAGGATCCACATCTAGTGTTTCTGGATTAATATTATTTTTTCCTTCAGCACAAATTCGTCTTACAGTACGATAACCCACACCACAAGCTTCGGCAGTAACAACTTGCGCATTTTTTAAAAAATCAGAAGTTTAATCTGACTTCTTTGATAATTGTTTTAAAAATAAATACACACTATAAATAATTTTTTTACTCTGACTGTGAGTATCTGAATCAGAAAACGACATATTTAAATGGATTACACGGTAACGCAGGAAAAAAAACAGTGTAAAAAAATAGTTGTTTACGGGCGCACAGTTCACAACATACAAAAAGATAAAACACGAGTCTCATAAAATGTGTTTGTATTATGTGCATTACTGTATACCCTACCACAGTACATTCTGCAGCTACCCTCCAGACATTCCAGAAGATCTGCTAAGGGTACGCAAAAAAAAATCAGTCTACTATAATGTATGGAATATAATATGTATGGAATACACATTGCGTGCAGAAGCGTGCACTGTGATCCTCGATGACGGACAGGTGGTGGTGTAGGTTGAGAACCAATGGCTAACAGGTAGGGAAGCCACAACGGGTCGCGGTACAAATCGGCCACTTTTCGTGGCGCGAACTATAGTTAAGTCACCTTAGTTGTGGGCCGAACGGCCAGTTTTTTTTAGGGTGGTTAGAAGCCCCCATCTTTTTTATAAATATTATACATACTTTGATGTCATTATATACTAATGTTGTAATTGTCTTTTTGTAATGTAAGATATACCTAGTTGTTGATTTCAATAAAATATGTGGACAGGAAGGCCGCAATGAGGAAACCTAATTCCCTCCCTGCTTACGATTTAAACATGAAAAAAAAGAAGGTGTTTTATATTGTATCAGTGTAACTATGAGAATATGAACTCTCTAATAATTCTAAAATATTATTTAAGCATCTTTCCAAATGGAATTTATTTCAAGTTCTAACAAAAACAATTTATATCAAGCGTTTAAACTAATATAATTAAGAATTACATAAACTAAATACATAACAGTAGTGACACTGTTGAGTAATTTCAGTTTTAGGTTTTGTTACTTTTCATACTATTATTACTTTATGTTCTAAATATTAATGGTCTAATTCATTAATTTTAAATTATTATATTTTATATTAAGTATTTGAAATTAATAAGTTATACAAAATCGATTAAATTTTACTAGAGGTATCTATAGTTATTCGATATTAATGATATGTATTACTAAATTTTTAATAAAATGGTTTTTTTATAGTTAAAATCGATAATTGTATTATTAATCTTGAAGAAACAGAATTAAAAGTATAAACATATTTTATAGTTTATATTATTTAAAAAAGTTATTTTGCATTGGTTAGTACTAGATAATTTCAGGAACCACTTACACGACGTTGTTTAGTCTCATTATCCAATTAACCTTGGATAGTTTAATATGAATCATACAGAAATTTCATTTTGGTTTATAATTATCAAAAATATTTTCGAATGTGCATTGGAGTAACATTGGTTACAAAAATAATAGAGATTTTTACATGGTTTAAGTGACCTTTCTTTATAGTCATTCGCTGCTTTAAAACCACTATATATTATATAATTACACTAAATAATATAATCAGAGGTTCATAAAACTTAGAAGGTAGTGAGTATCGATCTTCAGGGTCCATACCCACCAACGCTGCGCGATGAGATTACGATTTTGGTATTGATAGTTACAGAAACTGAGTCGAAGTAAACTACTTAAGAGAGGTGACTACCATAATATATTGATTTCAAACCTTTCCATCACAAACAACGTTTAATTTTTTAATTTTTTATAAGGAGGGTGGTTAGTGTAACCATGAAACTCCCACTACTCTCTTTTTTACCAATAATATTTATTTTGTTAACATTTTATTTTTGAAAATTATTTTTAATGAAGATATGGAACTTTTTGACTTATTGCCCTATTTTTAATTTTGATTATTTAGAACACTTCCTTTAGTAACTGTTAAATCCTAGTTAGACCGATAATTATATTACATAAGATACGTAAACATTATTTATTTTATTATAATTTAAAGTTCGTACTTACTAAATATTGAATAGTAGTCAGGTTTATCTTTATCTGTTCATAATAATTATTGTTAAATCATTATAATAATTTACAATATTCTCCAAAAGATATAATTCATGCTATAATATATTACTTGAAAAATAAGACTTTACAAGTTGAAATAGTATTGCATTTAACATTTTTTTCCAGAATTTTTTAATTAATTATTCTTGATTTGTTAAAATTAAATCAACTTTAATCAATACTAATGACTTTAATATAAAAATATTGTCATAACACTAATTGTTACTCAAAAAAATGGGATCGCTTAAAAATTTCACATTAAGTACTATGAAACCATTGTAGTTAATATCAGTGCAAACCATTTGTGCCCATTAAACTTTTTTAATAACCCATTTGCACCCGAAATATTTTTAATAAAAATGTTTTAAACCTGCGCAACATTGCCAAACTGTATTCTGGAATACACGCTATACTAATAATTATTATCTTATAATTTTAAACTATTGTACATATTAGTTACCAGTTTTAACTATTTTTAATTTTTACGTTACACCCTATCGATATTATTGAATATCGGTCCATATTGTCTTACTGATTTTCATGACGACTCTCACTTCTCTCTGTGTAAGCGTTGTGCAATCTTACACAAACTACAATCTTCCAATTACTAATATTATTGAAAATTTAAAATTAATTCAAGTGGAAACTTATTCAAAAATAAAGTAAATAAATAAAGGCACAGTGAAACTTAGACGAAATGAAGAAAAGCAACGTATAGAATTTGCATGTACAACTCGGATTGAATATGAAATAAAAAATATAACCAGAGTACCATATTTAAAATAAATTGCTTATAAATTTAGAGTGATTAACTCATCATAAAATATATTTATATACTTTTATTATTATTATTATTATTATTATTATAAAATATAGGGTGGTCTTTATATTTCAATATCTGATTTTTTCAGATTACACCACCTAAATTCATTTGAATAGTGATAAAAATGAGTTTTGTAAAGTTTGGTAATGATTGGAAATAATTAAGTTGTGCCACAAAAGCATCAAAGATTGATATATCTCAATATTTTTCAAGAAAACATACATTTTTTAAATTTTTTTATTCTAAGTTATAGAATATTTTTATTTTTTATACACTTAATATTTTTAAGATAATTAGACTAAAATAGTGTGATGTATAATATAATCTTTACATGCAATTTTACTTCTCCATTAGTGTACCTTTATTTGAATTTGGATGTTTTGCGATAGCCGTATACAACTTGCAGTAAATATTGATTTTGGCTTTCATCTTTAGTAATTTTGTTATTATACTCTTCTATTAGTTTAACTCCTCGCTCAGCAACATCATTGATGACAGGTGTATTTTTAATTTTAGATGTAGCCTTTTTGTAGCTCTCATTATTTTGCTAAGATGACGGATCAATACTTATGAAATCTGTATTTATTTTAAAGTGATTAAATAGTTCCATTGATTCAGAACAAATAAAATTGTAGTAACTTGGTTTGGTTTGAGAACATATTGTTTTCTGTATTCGTCTTCAAAGTCCGTATTTAGAGTGGTTATCATTTTTTCTTTGTTTCCACGAGTACATTCTTGTAAAAATACAAGAATGCAGTTGTTTCTGGAGATAAATACCATAAATGTCCGACTTTTATTTTATTGCTATGTCTGAAACACTTTTATCAACTGACTGATATTTTATTAAATCTTTTAAAAATGTTAAATCTAGCAGTGGTGCACTTAAAGTCAGCGGAGCTTTAAACTAAACTTTTACATATAACTTAACAATAAGCATGCATATATCAGCAATAGATTTTTCTTCTCGATATTTTAAATCAAATTGATTTCGAAATATATACATTTTTTAACAATATATAGCTTTTGCCATCCATCGTGCATGATGTATGGTTCTAGGTATTTTAAATGAGAGTCCTTGTGGAGGTACTCCTCCAAGAAAAATTATGGTTAGCTCTAACAGTTCCCTATAATTTTCCCTTGAGAGCCTATTGTTTAAATAACTAATAGAAAAGTTTATTATTTCTTCACTAACATTATGCAATAATTTTTCAACATAATTACTTTTGATACCAGGTTCAAAATTTGTGGTATTTACATTTGACCAAAATTGTTAAAATCGTTTAAAAATTGGGACGTCTGGGCCTGATGTAGTTGTACCAAATTTCACATCAAATACACTCCTCAATACAATTTCATAAATATGATGTCGCACGGCACGTATAAAATATTACGCTGTAATAACTGCTCCAATAAAATACAGGCACCTTTTATACGACCCGTATTGGAGGCAATCGTATCACAGCATAATGCTTGAATATTATCTGTAATACACCAATCTTCAAGTGTTTTGAAAAATTGCATTAGCCTGGTCAGCTCCTGTCCCGGTATCAAGAGCTGGAACTTCAAGTAACTGTTCTTTAACATTACAGGAAGCTACAATTGGAAATCTATCCACATTATATTTTCCTATTAAACTAGGTAAAAGTTTCCCATCCCAGTGAATAGTTAATGAATGGTCGATCGATATTTTATAGTTATTACGAATATTTTTAGCATGCTCTTTTCGAAAACATAAACGGGAACTCTGAATTGAAGTTCTATTTATAACTAATTCATTTACATTCTTACCTAATACTTCTGCAATAGGGTGACTGCACCAGTAAATGAAAAGTGCCAGTGAATGAACATATCAATAGTATTGAACGATTTATTTTAAATAATAAGAAAATCAGAAATAAACTACTAGGTATGATAAATGGTATCAACATTTAACAAATATTCTGATGTTGGTCATACTGTAATTTCATGACATTAGATTTCAAACCATTTGATTGAGAATATTTATCCTTTCCCTCCAATTATTATCATCTACGTTGTTATAAAATTGTTTTATTTTTTAAATGTTGGTTGTACAGAAACGAAACAATTTAACATCTTCAACATTAGGTAAGATATTTAAAATGATATTTATTTGATTCTTCACATATTTATAATGTCATTTATGTATTAATCAATCAACTTAATGCATTTTTTAATCTATTTTAATTGTGTTCAAGCACTGGTACAAGTAAAGATGTAAAAACCAGTGAATGAACTAGTGTTCATTCATTGGGATTGAGGTGTTTTACTTTTTACTAATAAATGAACACTGTGAATTTTGTTTTAATATTTTCTAATATAATTAAATAATACATAACTTTAATGTAATAAAATATTAAATAATTATTAATATTTTTAGGTAGGTATTCGAAAATATAACAATGGTTAAAAGTAAAGCACCAGAAAAAATATAAAAAGTATTTAAACAAAAATAAAACTATGTACAATTTAAATATACTGAAAAATAGCTAATTAATGCAGTAAATACAATAAAAAATGAAGAAAAATCTCTAAATCAGGTAAATAAAGAACCAGGGATTCCAAAGTCAACTCTTAGCAATAAGGTTAATAATAAAGTTCTTATTTTACGAAAAATGGGACCTAATACTATTTTACCTTTGAATGAGGAAGATAAAATTGTTAAATGGATTTTAGCTAAGGTTAAGATAGGTTTTCCAGTACACCCTGAAAATATAAAAGATTCTATTCAGAAAGTATTAAAAAGTTTCCCTAGAAAAATTCCTTTTAATGATGATAGACCTGGAAAAAAAATGGTTAGTTTCATTTTTAAACAGACACCAAGAAATAGCAAAAAGGCACACAGAAATAATATCTAAAGCAAGAGCTGCTGTCACTGAAAATTCTATAAGACTATGGTTTGATGGTGTTTTATCATTTTTAAAAGAAGAAGGATATTCAGATATTCTCGATGACAGTAGAAAAGAATTATTAACTGTGATGAGACAGGCATACAACTTTGTCCAAAAACAGGTAAAGTATTAGGTCCCAAAAAATGAACAATTTTTATGAAATTGCAAAAAATAGTGAAAAAGAAAATATAACTGTATTTTGTACATATTCAGCTGATGGAAGTTACCCCCCCTCCATCATGATTATTTATCCTTACAAAAGAATACCTAATTACATATATCAATCAGTACCAAGAAATTGGGGCATTGGGAGGAGCGATAGTGGTTGGATGGTGTCAGCTACATTTTTTGAGTATATTGCAAATATCATGTACCCTTGGTTAGTAGACAATGAAGTCAAATTTCCTGTTATCTTATATCTAGATGGACGTAAAAGTCACTTAAGTTTAGAATTATCAGAGTTTTGTACAGGAATAAAAATTATATTATATTGTCTACCACCTAAAGCAACACATATACTTCAACCTTGTGACGTTTCAATTTTCAAACCATTGAAGTCATACTGGAAAGACATGGTAAAAGCTCATAATTTGATATCAAAAAGTCCTATAACTAAAAATAACTTTGGGAACATTTTTAAAGATGTTTTTGATAAAGTAAAATCAGAGTCAATAATAAATGGCTTTAAAGCATGTGATATGTTTCCATTTAACCCAGATGCTGTTGATTATACTAAATGCATTGTCGCGGTCGTTATCGCAACGACCGCGGCTGCTCTATTCCCGTCCGCGATAACGCGACTGGAATGGATCGCGCGGCGATCGGTCCGGTCGGCGAGAGCAGTCTCTCTCGTATAACGGTCGCCGGACGTACTCTTTGTTATAGATAACTTTATAATATTAAATATAAATAATAAAGTTCCGTCTTGTACCTAAAGCGACGCATTAGTTATTTCAGCCCGACACCTACATTTGGCGCAGTCGGAAAAGGAGTAAGGTAAGTGCTAATTTTAATAAAAATAATTTTACGTAAATTAAAGTAAATTAGCACGTATCGGGTTAAAAGAACCTACAATAGGTGTCCTGATCATACCGGTTCCTAAATAGTTTTATTCAAATTATTTATATTTTTTTTTTACATTGAATAAAATATTAAGGGCTTATCCAATCTAAGGTGGTAAATTTTGGCAAAATTTGCATAATTTAGCGTAATTCCTACCGAGCTAAACTGCGTTTTGGCTATTTATAGATTGG